GGACATGAAGAAGAGGGACATGTATGTAGAAGAGACATGGAGAAGAGGGGACACATGTTGATGTAGAAGAGACATGAAGAAGAGGGACACATGTTGATGTAGAAGAGACATAAAGAAGAGGGGACACATGTTGATGTAGAAGAGACATGAAGAAGAGGGGACACATGTTGATGTAGAAGAGACATGAAGAAGAGAAGAAGAGGGGACACATGTTGATGTAGAAGAGACATGAAGAAGAGGGGACACATGTTGATGTAGAAGAGACATGAAGAAGAGGGGACATGTAGAAGAGACATGAAGAAGAAGAGGGGACACATGGTTGATGAGAAGAGACATGAAGAAGAGGGGACACATGTTGATGTAGAAGAGACATGAAGAGAGGGGACACATGTTGATGTAGAAGAGACATGAGGAAGAGGAAGAGGGGACATATGTTGATAGAAGAGACATGAAGAAAAGGGGACAGAGAAAAGGGGGACACATGTTGATGTAGAAGAGACATGAAGAAGAGGGGACACGTGTTGATGTAGAAGAGACATATGAGAAGAGACTGAAGAAGAGGGGACACATGTTGATATAGAAAAGACATGAAGAAGAGGGGACACATGTTGATGTAGAAGAGACATGAAAGAGGGGACACATGTTGATGTAGAAGAGACATGAGAAGAGGGGGACACATGTGTTGATGTAGAAGAGACATGAAGAAAGGGGACACATGTTGATTGATGTAGAAGAGACATGAAGAAGAGGGGACACTGTTGATGTAGAAGAGACATGAAGAAGAGGGGGACACATGTTGATGTAGAAAGACATGAAGAAGAGGGGGACAACATGTTGATGTAGAAGAGACATGAAGAAGAGGGGGACACGTGTTGAGGTAGAAGAGACATGAAGAAGTGGATTTGCACAATAGGTGACCTTTCAAACACACAAATCCTCCAAATAGTGGACGCTTAACTACTTTCGATCAATCCAGTCGTCACACACGGGACATTTTCCTGAACCTCTGTGACCCGAAAAACTCTAAATTAAACATCCAAATCACACTTAAAAATGTGTGGAGCACGGGGAATATAGAAGTATCTTTCAATGGTTTTACGCTAAACTAATGTTCCACCATTCATGATTCATAATGCACTTTGTAAATGCCTATATTTCAAGTGGTTTTTATAATAAATCATATTAAAGTTGACAAATTATTCAGTAAATCTCAACATTTCTCCCAAAAAGGATGTTTTAATGTCACTTTCCAAAGTGACAAAATGGTCTGTATTGTCTAAGCTTTCTTATTGTTTCATGTCATTTAGGAGTGAGTAAACTGCTAATCGTTTGCATGACTTGACAAAGAAAGTCAAACATGTACGTGACACTTATTTCTTTTGGCTTTTACTTCCAAATCTTCTTTTAGTTCTTCTCTTGAAGGCACTCACTGGTGGAGGAGGAAGCTAGAGAGGTCTTTTTTAAGAGATATCATGAATCAGATTTATTATATTTAACATTAAAGGGGCCACATCCTGCTGATGTTCAGGTGTTTATCAGTATGTAGTGTCTCTACTTTAAAGAGTCCTCTCCTGCTGATGTTCAGGTGTTTATCAGTATGTAGTGTCTCTACCTTAAAGAGTCCTCTCCTGCTGATGTTCAGGTGTATATCAGTATGTAGTGTCTCTACTTTAAAGAGTCCTCTCCTGCTGATGTTCAGGTGTAAATCAGTATGTAGTGTCTCTACTTTAAAGAGTCCTCTCCTGCTGATGTTCAGGTGTATATCAGTATGTAAGTGTCTCTACTTTAAAGAGTCCTCTCCTGCTCGATGTTCAGGTGTAAATCAGTATGCAGTGTCTCTACTTTAAAGAGTCCTCTCCTGCTGATGTTCAGGTGTATATCAGTATGCAGTGTCTCTACTTTAAAGAGTCCTCTCCTGCTGATGTTCAGGTGTATATCAGTATGCAGTGTCTCTACCTTAAAGAGTCCTCTCCTGCTGATGTTCAGGTGTATATCAGTATGTAGTGTCTCTACTTTAAAGAGTCCTCTCTGCTGATGTTCAGGTGTAAATCAGGTATGCAGTGGTCTCTACTTTAAAGAGTCCTCTCCTGCTGATGGTTCAGGTGTATATCAGTATGCAGTGTCTCTACTTTAAAGAGTCCTCTCCTGCTGATGTTCAGGTGTATATCAGTATGCAGTGTCTCTACCTTAAAGAGTCCTCTCCTGCTGATGGTTCAGGTGTATATCAGTATGTAGTGTCTCTACTTTAAAGAGTCCTCTCCTGCTGATGTTCAGGTGTATATCAGTATTAGTGTCTCTACTTTTAAAGAGTCCTCTCCTGCTGATGTTCAGGTGTAAATCAGTATGTAGTGTATCTACTTTAAAGAGTTCTCTCCTGCTGATGTTCAGGTGTAATATCAGTAAGTAGTGTCTCTACTTTAAAGAGTCCATCTCCTGCTGATGTTTCAGGGTTATATCAGTATGTAGTGTCTCTACTTTAAAGAGTCCTCTCCTGCTGATGTTCAGGTGTATATCAGTATGTAGTGTATCTACTTTAAAGAGTCCTCTCCTGCTGATGTTCAGGTGTATATCAGTATGTAGTGTCTCTACTTTAAAGAGTCCTCTCCTGCTGATGTTCAGGTGTAAATCAGTATGTAGTGTCTCTACTATAAAGAGTCCTCCACACACACACAACACAACACACACACACACACACACACACCACACACACAACACACAACACACAACACCAACACACACACACACACACACACCACACCCACACACAGCACACACACACACCACACAACACACACACACACACGACCTGTACAGGTGCGGTGTTCTGTGAGAACTCGTCGTTAGCGGACATGACTTCCATGGTGGCTCTCTGGATCAGATCGAAACCGATTCCCAACACCACAATCCTCACACCCACCGCTACACACCATACGTGTTTATAGGATATATCAGGACGTGTGAAAACAAAAAACGGACAATTGGGACTGCCTTTCCAATGGTCCTAGGGACCTGGAAATCAAAGTATTTCATATCCATGCTTCCTGGAAGACATCCATCTATTGAGATTTTGTCTAATGCTATATTTTGCGGAAACCTGATTTAATACTACTTCTGAGGACATGAACAGGTTTATGTGACTTATGAGGCCCCTTAGCACACACACTGATATTTCATGTTTATATGAATTTGACCCCATGGATACACACTACATTTTCAAGGTTTAAGGGACTTATGGAGACCCAGTAAATACACAAAATAGAGTCTGTATTGCAACTATGCCTTTATTACTTATGATTGAAATATCTGCATAAGAAGGATCGGTGTACATTAAAAAACTAAAACTTCAACATTAATAATTACTCATGTTCGCCAGTCAGGTAACCTCTGACACAAAAAAGGTCTATTCATATTAACTTGTTGATACAACATATTAAAACTGAGCAGTCCAGAAACATACAAAAGCTAAGTTAAAAAGGTATATAGCATTTAATTGTGGTCAGTTTACTCTTAAAGTCTTAATATTTTTCCAGTTACAAATTCTCTAATAAACGTTTATGTGAAAAAAAGGATGAAACACTTTATTTGTTTCTACATTTAATGAATTGCTGGCAAAATATATAAATTGAAGTATAAACCAGAATAGGAGAAATTAAAAGAGGGTGCCCTCATGACTATTCCTTTACCTAACAATAAGGATATTGTATATAAGGATATACTCTATAAGCACCTTGAGATGACGTTGTCTTTAAAGTGTGTATTATAAATCAAATGTATTATATTATGATTGATTCATGTTGCATAAAGATGGAACCATGGTGACAGGCACTGCCTTTGATTAAATAATTCTTAGTCAACTGAAAGTCACAGGATTATGTCAACTATCCAAAATGTAGTGCTTTTTAACTACAAAACATGTCTGTGAGTATTATTGTTGCCAGAGTTGGGTTAATCATTTCCCTGTTATGAGAAAGACTAATAGCAACAACTTAAAAACATTGTTTGTCGACTTAGAACCTAACAACCAATTATTTGGTCATATAAATTGTAAAATAACCTTTTTTTACACCGAGAATAGACCACCCACAACCCAGAAACGTTAGCCCCTATCCTCCATTGTGTGAGGCAGTGAAGTAGATATGGCATGTTTGAAAGGAATGAGCAACTTTTTCTTTAGTGTTTTTCTTGTAAAAAGCACGGAATTAACTTTTTATTAAAACTTCCAGCTTCTACGAAACATGACAAGTGTACACTATGTTTAGTTAACCAGTCTAAATAACTTACAACGTTTAATATAGTTTACCAAAGTTACCATAAATGAGGCATGTTACAAGTAGCCCCCACTCCAAATAATTTCTTAATAGTTGAAAGACCACATCAAACAACTTGTGGGCAAGAACAAATCAATGGTGAAAACTTGGGAAATAATGATGGAAGTAACAATTTTTTGAAGTACTAGTTATATTATTTGTTGAGACAGAACATAGTATTAACCCATCATCTCAAACCTTATTTATGAAAGAAATGATGGCATAACTGTAAATAATCGTCAAAAAACACATTTTCTGTTGGCTGAAAGTGACCACGAGAGGGGGGTTGGAAAAACCCATTAAATCCCTCATGGATACATGTCAACATATTAACATTTGGTAGCTACAGTCAAGCTTATGTGACATGCTTGTACAAGAACAAAACTAATTAAATAATTCAAGAAAAACAAGATAATATCAAAACCAAGCCAAGTACACACATTAACACAAGAGGTTAGGCTGATTATTAAATCCCTACCAATAAAGCTGCAGGGAATGAAGAAACAACTATTATTTTAAAGTCAAATTGTACCTCAGACCAAGTTGGCATGTTCTAGTCCTATGTATTCATCTTCCTTTTAATGCCATGATTCTGTTGTGAATGTAATATTTGATGGCAACCCAGTCCCTGTCTTTCAGAGCTACTGGCTCTGCCTTGAGACAGGAGTCACAGTCCTTTTTACCTGGTACTCTGCAGCTTGTTAAGGATACAAATGCCGCTCAGTAGCCTTCACTTCGTCACCTGTCCACTTGCTTTCATCTTCCCAGCTGTCATAAATGGAAACAAGACACAATGTATTTGAGAAATTGCTCTGTTAAAGTGATAATGTGGGATATGATAGAACAAATTATAGTTTGTAGTTAAATGATAGCATCATCAAATGTGTGTGAATGATGGCCTCTGTGATCAGTGTATGAATGGTAAAAATGTTGGCATACATTTGCATGTGAATGGGTATATGTTGGCATGTACTGTAAAGTGCATTAGTTGTACAAAAAACTAGAAATGTCCTTTAGAAATCCAGTTAAGATCAATACATGTTTCTAATAGAGTAATGTAAATACAAAATGCTTATTTACCTTGCATTCCATTGGAGCACTTTGAGGAAGCTTTGTTGAAGTGAAGTGTTGTGTTCTTCTGTGAATCTGAAAGGATAAATTAGAATATAATGCATGATAAAAGCACATACTGCCTTTCCTTCGAAAGCAAGACTTAATAATTGTTTTCACCATAAGTATATTTAGATCAAATAGTGTGTTATTTGGGTTCCAATATAGAAAGAGTTTGAACTGTACAATATCTGCTACCCAACAATATGAGGACGATGTAACACACACACTCTACACTCGTTGGGTTGTACCATATGGGGACATTCTCTGAAACACATCATGACTACACAACCTAAAGACGTTATCTGCTACCCAACAATATGAGGACGATGTAACACACACACTTTACACTCGTTGGGTTGTAACATATAGGGACATTCTCTGAAACACATCAAGACTACACAACCTACAACAAAATGAGGACATGACGACTGAAGTTACATAAAGTCAGCATTCCTGACTTCTGAGATGTGCTGTTGTTGTTAAAAAAACCTGAAACCCCCATAGCAATAAGTATGGATCTACTTCCCTATTAATTAAATCATGTAAACTGATACACATTAGGTTAAATTGGAAAATACATTGGCAAAAGGAGAAAACACACAGAATTTAGGGGCAATAAAGATCATTTTCATGTTATTAGAGGTAGATACTGCTATCAAATGGTAGGGGTATATCTTTCTACTATGATATTTAGAAACAAGTAACAGTTATATTGAGATTCAACATTTATTAAACAATATATTAATTGTAATGAGGTAAACAGGCATTTTATGTAGGCATTGGACTTGATTGAGACATTAATTTACCTTGTATAGAAATAGTCTACAGTAAATGTTTAATTACCTGTTGGAAGGATGAGGTGGATCTCTGGCTCGCTTCAGAGTCAGCTAAAGTATGAGCCGTGATCATGTCACTCAGTTTCTGCAATTTAAAATACAACAATAACGTGTCAGAAATCCATTGACTTTTCATGTAGGGGACACAAATTTTAGTAAGAACAATTCACATGAGGATCTGGGCTTGTAACTCAAGACTCTATAGAAATAGTTTGAACTGTACAATATCTGCTACCCAACAATATGAGGACGATGAAACACACAAACTCTACACTCGTTGGGTTGTACCATATGGGGACGTCCACCAAAACACATCATGACTACACAACCTAAAGACGATATCTACTACCCAACAATATGAGGACGATGTAACACACAAACTCTACACTCGTTGGGTTGTACCAAATGGGGACGTCCACCAAAACACATCATGACTACACAACCTAAAGACGATATCTACTATCCAACAATATGAGGATGATGTAACACACACACACTCTAAACTTGTTGGGTTGTACCATATGGGGACGTCCTCTAAAACACATCATGACTACACAACCTAAAACAAAATGAGGACATGACGACTGAAGTTACATAAAGTCAGTGTTCCTGACTTCTGAGGTGTGCTGTTGTTGTTAAAAAAAACCTGAAACCCCCATAGTATTAAGTATGGATCTACTTCCCTATTAATTAGATCATGTAAACTGATACACATTAGGTTAAATTGGATAACACATTGGCAAAAGGAGAAAACACACAGAATTTAGGGGCAATAAAGATCATTTTCATGTTTTAAGAGGTAGTTACTGCTATCAAATGGTAGGGGTATATCTTTCCACTATGGTATTTAGAAACAACAGTCAGTCTTGACATTGTGAACGTTTTTTCACAACACCTTTGTGTTAATGCAGTTAAAAGGCATTTTATGTGTGCATTGGACTTGATTGAGACATGCATTTACCTTGTATAGAAATAGTCTACAGTAAATGTTTAATTACCTGTTGGAAGGATGAGGTGGATCTCTGGCTCCTTTCAGAGTCAGCTAAAGACTGAGCCGTGATCATGTCACTCAGTTTCTGCATTTTAAAATACAACAATAACGTGTCAGAAATCCATTGACTTTTCATGTAGGGGACACAGATTTTAGTAAAAACAATTCACATGAGGATCTGGGCTTGTAACTCAAGACTCTATAGAAATAGTTTGAACTGTACAATATCTGCTACCCAACAATATGAGGACGATGTAACACACACACACACTCTACACTCGTTGGGTTGTACCAAATGGGGACGTCCACCAAAACACATCATGACTACGCAACCTAAAGACGATATCTACTACCCAACAATATGAGGACGATGTAACACACACACACACTCTACACTCGTTGGGTTGTACCATATGGGGACGTTCTCTGAAACACATCAAGACTACACAACCTAAAGACAATATCTACTATCCAACAATATGAGGACGATGTAACACACACACACTCTACACTCGTTGGGTTGTACCATATGGGGACGTCCTCTGAAACACATCATGACTATGCAACCTAAAGACGATATCTACTACCCAACAATACGAGGACGATGTAACACACACACACTCTAAACTTGTTGGGTTGTAACATATGGGAACGCCCTCTAAAACACATCATGACTATGCAACCTAAAACAAAATGAGGACATGACGACTGAAGTTACATAAAGTCAGCATTCCTGACTTCTGAGGTGTGCTGTTGTTGTTAAAAAAAAAACCATAGTAATAAGTATGGATCTACTTCCCTATTAATTAGATCATGTAAACTGATACACATTAGGTTAAATTGAAAAATACATTGGCAAAAGGAGAAAACACACAGAATTTAGGGGCAATAAAGATCATTTTCATGTTATAAGAGGTAGATACTGCTATCAAATGGTAGGGGTATATCTTTCTACTATGATATTTAGAAACAAGTAACAGTTATATTGAGATTCTACATTTATTAAACAATATATTAATTTTAATTAGGTAAAAAGGCATTTTATGTAGGCATTGGACTTGATTGAGATATGAATTTACCTTGTATATAAATAGTCTACAGTAAATGTTTAATTAACCCTTATGTTGTGTTCGGGTCTCCCGTGACCCGTTTCAAATTCAAATTATATAATAACTACGCTCTAGTTTTTTTTATCGGAACAAGGCTTCATGATATCCTCCACAACAGCTATATAAACACTACAAAACTGATTTTGACAATTTTAGGCAAGTCTGAAGGTCTCTAAAAAAATAAGTGTATAATTTGGTGTTCGGGTCTGGTTAGACCGAGCAGAATTGTTGTGGGTGACTCGGGGTCAAATTTGGCCCAATCAAGATTCATCTTTGACTTTAGACACCCCACCCCCACCCCCTTCATCCACTGTAACAATATTTTTTGCGCAACATGCACCTGGTCTCCCATCCCTCTGGCCCCCCTCCCCCCACGGGAACTTGACCTTTCACAAAGAATATGTACACTAACACTTGAACCTGAACGTGTGCCATATGTTGTGTAATGTGTTTTGGGGCCATACAATACAATTACAACAGGATTGTATGGTTATGAATGAATTAGAAGTTAGTTATGATGTAGGTAAAACAATATTGGATGATAGTCATTATTTGTGAGTGTTTTGGACTGAGATAAATCATGGGTCAAAATTGACCCGCGAACACCATGAAGGGTAACAGCTTTCAAACACAACACAAGGGTTAATTACCTGTTGGAAGGATGAGGTGTATCTCTGGCTTGCTTCAGAGTCAGCTAAAGGCTGAGCCGCAATCATGTCACTCAGTTTCTGCATTTTAAAATACAACAATAACGTGTCAGAAATCCATTGACTTTTCATGTAGGGGACACAGATTTTAGTAAAAACAATTCACATGAGGATCTGGGCTTGGATCTGGGATCTGCAAGGACTCTATAGAAATAGTTTGAACTGTACAATATCTGCTACCCAACAATATGAGGACAGATGTAACACACACACTCTACACTCGTTGGGTTGTACCATATGGGGACGTCTCCGAAACACATCATGACTACCAACCTAAAGACGATATCTACGATCCAACAATATGAGGACGATGTAACACACATACACTCTAAACTCGTTGGGTTGTACCATATGGGGACTGCCCTCTAAAACACATCATGACCTACACAACCTAAAACAAAATGAGGACATGACGACTGAAGTTACATAAAGTCAGCATGTTCCTGACTTCTGAGGTGTGCTGTTGTTGTTAAAAAAAACCTGAAACCCCCATAGTAATAAGTATGGATCTACTTCCCTATTAATTAGATAATGTAAACTGATACACATTAGGTTAAATTGGCAAATACATGGCAAAAGGAGAAAACAACACAGAATTAGGGGCAATAAAGATCATTTTCATGTTTTAAGAGGTAGTTACTGCTATCAAATGGTAGGGGTATATCTTTCCACTATGATATTTAGAAACAACAGTCAGTCTTGACATTGTGAAAGTTTTTTCACAACACCTTTGTGTTAATGCAGTTAAAAGGCATTATATGTGTGCATTGGACTTGATTGAGACATGAATTTACCTTGTATAGAAATAGTCTAGAGTAAATGTTAATTACCTGTTGGAAGGATGAGGTGGATCTCTGGCTCCTTTCAGAGTCAGCTAAAGGCTGAGCCGGGAATCATGTCACTCAGTTTCTGCAATTTAAATACAACAATAACGTGTCAGAAATCCATTGACTTTTCATGTAGGGGACACAGATTTTAGTAAAAACAATTCACATGAGGATCTGGGCTTGTAACTCAAGACTCTATAGAAATAGTTTGAACTGTACAATATCTGCTACCCAACAATATGAGGACGATGTAACACACACACTCTACACTCGTTGGGTTGTACCATATGGGACGTTCTCTGAAACACATCATGACTACACAACCTAAGACGATATCGTACGACCCAACAATATGAGGACGATGTAACACACACACTCTAAACTCGTTGGTTGTAACATATGGGGGATGCCCTCTAAAACACATCATGACTACACAACCTAAAACAAAATGAGGACATGACGACTGAAGTTACATAAAGTCAGTGTTCCTGACTTCTGAGGTGTGCTGTTGTTGTTAAAAAACCTGAAACCCCCATAGTAATAAGTATGGATCTACTTCCCTATTAATTAGATAATGTAAACTGATACACATTAGGTTAAATTGGCAAATACATTGGCAAAAGGAGAAAAAACACAGAATTTAGGGGCAATAAGATCATTTTCATGTTTTAAGAGGTAGTTACTGCTATCAAATGGTAGGGGGTATATCTTTCCACTATGATATTTAGAAACAACAGTCAGTCTTGACATTGTGAAAGTTTTTTCACAACACCTTTGTGTTAATGCAGTTAAAAGGCATTATATGTGTGCATTGGACTTGATTGAGACATGAATTTACCTTGTATAGAAATAGTCTAGAGTAAATGTTTAATTACCTGTTGGAAGGATGAGGTGGATCTCTGGCTCCTTTCAGAGTCAGCTAAAGGCTGAGCCGGGATCATGTCACTCAGTTTCTGCAATTTAAATACAACAATAACGTGTCAGAAATCCATTGACTTTTCATGTAGGGGACACAGATTTTAGTAAAAACAATTCACATGAGGATCTGGGCTTGTAACTCAAGACTCTATAGAAATAGTTTGAACTGTACAATATCTGCTACCCAACAATATGAGGACGATGTAACACACACACTCTACACTCGCCATTTGTTCCTCAATTAGCAAACATCTACATGGAAGAATGACAAAAGTCAACAAGAACAAAATAGAAATTACATTTCTAATTTATTTGTATCAATTATGTTTTATAAAATGGTATCATTTATTCTTTAATCATAACTTACTAACTCATGTTCTCACTAATGCAGGATCCCATTAGCTTGATAAGCTAACTGTTCAGTGCAAACCCTGGGCAACTGCAATTAGAATTGTGTAACTTCAAGTTACTTTAACACCTCAACAAATAATGTTACAAG